AACAATCTAATAGTGGAAATCCTAGCAACAGGAGCATAAGTATCAAAGAAGTCAATACCTTCTTTTTGCCTAAAGCCTTGAATAACCAACCTGGCTTTGTACTTATCTATGGTGCCATCCACTTTCATCTTTCTTTTGAGGATCCATTTACATCCTAATGYTTTGCAACCARGAGGCAAATCAGTTAAAACCCAKGTATTATTATACATGATCGAATCAATCTCATCCTGGATTGCTTCTTTCCAGAAAGCAACATCCCTAGATGCCATGGCTTCACTAAAAGTCTTTGGATCCTCCTCAATAATAAAACAATATTGATGTTGAGACACAGTCTCGTCTCTTGTTCCTTCAACTAGATAAAGTTGAAAATCAGATCCAAAAGACTTAGCTTTTCTAGCTCTAGTGCTTTTCCTAAGTTTAGATGGTCCAGGTACAGAATCTGTACCACCACACACATTTTCAGCTTGAGTTGTAGTTTTGTAGGAATGAATCATGTCCGTTGGTCTAGATATAGATGTAAATCTCTCTTCATCAAATATAGCATCTCTTGACTCCATAACAGTGTTAACTGACACAGAGTCATTAGATTCTATAACATAAAATCTATATGTTTTGGAATGCTCAGCATACCCAATGAAGATACAATCTATACCTTTCTCACCTAGTTTTTGCCGTTTGGGTTCAGTGAGCCTTACAATTGCTCTACAACCCCAAACTTTGAGATAACTCAAATTTGGTACCTTTTTATACCAAATTTCATAAGGGGTATTTTTACTCCTTTTATTCGGAGTTCTATTCAATATATAACAGGCTGTCAACATAGCCTCACCCCAAAACCCATCACTTAGGCCTGAATAAGACAACATGGAATTAACCATTTCCTTCAAGGTTCTATTCTTCCTTTCAGCCACACCATTTTGCTGTGGTGTGTAAGGAGCCGTGGTTTGATATATTATACCAGTAGACTCAAAATAAACTGGATCATAACACTCACCACCTCTATCAGTACGCAAAACTTTTATCAACTCATTTCTATGTAGCTCTACTTCTTGTTTATAAATTTTAAATTTATCAAGAGCTTCATCCTTTGTGTGCACCAAATAAACATAACAATATCTAGATGCATCATCAATAAAAGTAATAACATACTTTTTATTTCCTAGTGAAGGTGTAGCATGAAAATCACATAAATCACTATGAATGAGTTCTAATACTTTGCTTTCTCTTTTAACATCCTTAAAAGGTTGTCTTGTAATCTTGGTTARCATGCAAGTTTTACACTTTTCATTATTCATGTCAAAAGCRGGTATTAAACTCATTTTAGACATATCCTTTAACCTTTTATAATGAACATGTCCTAGTCTAGCATGCCATAAAACAGATTTACTTAGGTTATTACTACTAGATGCCATCATACAAATAGAGTTAACATAAGAAGGATAATCTAGATTCAACCTAATCATACCATTACATACATAGCCAAATCCAACAAAAGTACCATGTCTTGACAAGATATACTTGTCACTTTCCAACACTTGTTTGTAGCCACACTTATTCAACACAATTTCAGACAAGAGGTTCTTTCGAATCCCCGGTACATACAAAACATTGTCTAAACATAAACACTTTCCAGATGTGAACTTAATTAAAACACGTCCTAATCCCTTGATTGATTCCGTTGCAACATTTCCCATCTTCACGACAGATCCATCTTCAATTGGTTGACATTCTTTAAACCAACGAAGATCCTTGCAAACATGACGTGTTGCACCAGAATCAACCCACCAAGCAACATCATCATCCTGCACATAATATGCCTCAGAAATAACAGAAATATAATTCTGAACATTATTTAAATTGTGCACTAAATCACAATTCTGACGTTGTTGCTTTCCTGGATCCTTAGACCCACTTGGACCAGTTCCATCCTTGTTCACTTTACGAACACGACAATCCTTCTTGAAATGACCAGGTTTACCACACCTCCAACACACCAATTTAGGCTTTTTGTTGGAAAACTTGTCATCTCCACCTTTGTGTTTCCGTTTGTTATCTTTAAACTTGTTGAAATTCTTAGACCCATCCCCTTCCACCATGTTCACAGAAGAAGAACCAACTTGGTTTTTACCTTTAGGATTATTGTCAAGTTCTTGAGTCCTCAAAGACTCTTCAATCCTAAAGTGACTTCCAAGTTRAACCAGACTTAATTCTTCCTTCTTGTGTTTYAGAGTGTGTTTAAACTYTTTCCAGGAARGAGGCAATTTGTCAATAATCATAGCAACCGAGATGGCTTCATCCATCTTTAGATTATGTTGAACAAATTGTCCCAGAATCCTCAACAATTCATGAAATTGTTCCATGACAGACCTGGTATCTACCATCTTGTAATTCATGAAATTACCAACCAGAAACTTCTTGCTAGAAGCATCTTCTGCCATATACTTGGATTCCAAAGAATCCCATAGTTCTTTTGCAGATTCAACGTTTTGATRAATATCAAATAAGGAGTCRGACATACCGTTTAAGATGTGACCACGACATATATAATCATCGTTTTCCCATTTCGATCTCCTCCTTGACACTTCCAGGGTTTCATCTTCAACGTATTCAGGCACAGGGGTACTCAGAACGTAAACCACTTTCAGGGTAGTCAGGAGAAAATGCATCTTCTTCTGCCATCTTCGGAAATCTTGCCCTTCAAATTTTGACAATTTATCGAATTTGCTTGTCATATCTTTCACAAATTCTTTGTCAGCCATTATCGAAAATACTTCAATCTCTGTTAGAAACACCTTTACTTGGAATCCACTGAAAGTCGCTTTTCACTTTCAGATTGAAGTATTTCGACGGTACAATCGAAATCTCAATCGGATAAAATTCAGTGACAGAACTTCGAATCTGAAATTGTTATGAAAATCTGTGTACCTCTCTTACTCTCCACGAAAATTTGACCAATTCGAATTATAAAAAGAAAAACCGTATGGCAGTTTTTCACCTAAAAACCGGGCCAAAAACCGTATAAAAAACTGTCAAAAAATGGCAGTTTTTCACCTAAAANTATAAAAAACTGTCAAAAAATGGCAGTTTTTCACCTAAAAAACCGGGCCAAAAACCGTATAAAAAACTGTCAAAAAATGGCAGTTTTTCACCTAAAATCSGACCAAAATAAATTCAAACAAGTGTGCACTCCGCACCTTCCTTACTTTATTCGATATTTATCTTGATTACATTGGTCAACAAATTAATCCCATTACATTTAAGTGATATTAGTGATACTAATCACCAACAGTTAATATGTCGAGGCCGTCTTCTATGGGTTGTGCGCTCAACTAGTTGAGTAATTTTGTAACCACTAAAAGTTCTCTTAGATATGGTATATGCAATGCAAAAAGGGTGGCCCTGGTGCACCAAAGCTCTTGGGATTTACGAATGTTGGGAAGAGAAGCCTTTGTGTCCCCAGACCCTGCTTTCGAGCAGGGAATATTGGGTTTGTTCGGATTGATTTCAAACAGAAGCCTTTGTGCATACCATTTTCTCTTGATTTTATGAAGAGACTATTGACATCACACATTCCATGAACCAGTAAAAATGGCTAACCTCACTCCTTGACAGCTTGGGTGAGAAGGCCCTTGCCTGAAGGAGGTTTGCAAGATCTATTACTCAATTGTTGCATTTGTTAAATTGGATTGTATAGATATATATTAGCACTAATGTCGATTACAGAAGGCTATACAAACTCATTATTATTTAGAAACTGTTATATATATCATCGTAATCTTCACTAGCGCTCAAAAGGTTTCAAATTTGAAATAAAATAGAAGCTCAAGTGAATTAGTTTGCTGCAGGTTGATAAATCCTGTTGTGGTTGCACCTACGATTGGGGCCGTGGGCTTGGCATTTTTCAGCTATGGTTTCCCTCAAGCTGGTAGTTGTGTTGAGATCAGTCTTCCTCAGATATTATTGGTGCTTATCTTTTCCTTGGTGAGTAACACATAAATAGCTTCATACAAATGTAAGTGACCCGAAGGTCTTATTATTTGTATATTTTTGTTGATGTGGGGTGTTCTCGGAAACAACCTCTTTGTCTCTTGAGACCCATCAAGTGGGATATAATGGGTTTGTTTGGTTTGGTTTCATGCCGCTTGACGTGCTTGTTTCTTCTGTGTAGCACCTTCGGGGAGTATCTGTTCTTGGACATCGGGTATTTCAAATATATGCGGTATGAGTATTTCTATCTTCTATTTTGCTCATCTACCTACTGTCTTGTGATCCAAGATGAATACTTGTATTATAAATCTCTTTTTTCTTTTCTTTTTTTGCTTTTTTATTCATTTTCATAATACTATCTAAATAATCTTGATGCCAACAACATTAATCTTATAGGTCCCTTTGAGCGTTGTTATCATATGGGTGTACGCGTTTTTCTTGACAGCTGGGGGAGCATACAACTACAAAGGATGTAGCTCGGACATACCCATTTCAAATATGTTAGTCGATTCTTGCATTAAGCATGCATATACAATGAAACATTGCAGGACTGATGCATCCGATGCATGGAGATTGGCTGATTGGGTTAGGGTACCTTACCCTTTGCAATGGGGTATCCCGATATTCCATCTAAGAACCTCCATCATCATGATCGTTGTGTCCTTGGTGGCATCAGTCGACTCGGTGAGGAACTCACAACTTTCTTTTCGGAAACAACCTCTTTGACTCTTGGAGCAAAGGAAATGGTCTAATTCTTATGCGATTTGGCATGTTGACAGGTGGGAACGTATTACTCCACATCAATGCGAATGAATGCAAAACCTCCTACACGGGGTATTGTAAGTAGAGGAATTGGTTTGGAAGGCTTTTGTAGCGTACTGGCTGGGCTGTGGGGATCAGGGGCTGGCTCAACAACTTTAACCGAAAATGCACACACTGTTACCATCACAAAGGTATCTAGTAGAAGGGCTGTGCAGCTGGGAGCGGTTATCTTAATCTTCTTCTCTTTTGTAGGTATATACCCTTTTGCTCCTAATCTTTTTTTCTTTCCGAAACCATGCTCCTAATCTTTTAATCATGCGAAAATTGTCTTTGCCTTAAGTCACTATAAACCTTACCAAAGAAGTTTTAGATCAAGATACCAAACCCCGAATCCCTAACCCTGATTGTAATGGTGATAAGGGGTTGTTTGGCAGTTGGGTTTGGTGCAGGATGATTAAGTGGTCAGAATGATTAAGAGGCTCTAATAATATAGTGCAAAATGAAATATAATTGTTTGGTAATTATTCAGAATGAAATTAGGGTGCTGAATGATTAAGGAGAGCCAAGATACAAAATCATTCAGAGGGTTTTAGAACCACCAAGTGGCAAACTTTTTTTTGCCAAACAAGATTCACCTCTTAGCAATTCAAAACTGCGTCTTAATGGAACCATTAAGAGGTAAACAAACAACCCTCTATTTCATTGAATCCAATTGATTAATGAGAGACTATTTCAGGTAAAGTGGGTGCCATTCTTGCTTCTATACCACAAGCGTTGGCTGCTTCGTTGTTGTGCTTTGTGTGGGCTCTAACTGTGGCATTAGGACTTTCGACATTGCGGTATACTCACTCAGCAAGTTTCAGAAACATCATGATAGTTGGTGCATCCCTGTTTCTCGGTTTGTCCTTGCCGGCATATTTTCAACAGTATCAACCAGAAACCGCATTGATTCTGCCCGGTTACTTCATTCCTTATTCGGCAGCATCAGATGGCCCAATTCATTCCGGAAATAAACAAGTAGGTTCTTTTCTCCTTCTGTAAAAAAAACCTTCTTTCCCTTAATAATGCAATAATTTTTTTGAATAATTATAAATTTGGTTTTCGATGCTTATGTTATAAGGATAGAACGGGAAAGTATGCACTTATTTTGAAACAAACTAAAAATAGAGGCGTTGACACTTATTTTGTGAGGGATGGAGCAAGTCTTATCTTTAATTTTAGAAAGTACCCTTTGGTGGACTGTTGTGAAAATCTAACATACTATTTTTCTCTTCCGATTTATCATCAGTTTGACTTCACAATGAACGCGCTTCTATCGATGAACATGGTGGTGACGCTTTTGGTAGCGATCGTATTGGACAACACCGTGCCTGGCAGTCGACAAGAGCGTGGTGTGTACCTTTGGTCTACTTCTGAGGACTTATCGACAGATCCATCTTCTCTCGATGATTACTCTTTACCAACCAAATGTTCCCGAGTTTTCAGCTGTGCAAAGTGTTTGGGTGCATGAGCTTACGTAACAGTCCATGGTCAACTGATGCCTCGGCTTCAAGTCAACATCTCAAAAAGGTGATATACGCAATACACTTCTATACACCATTCGTAAGTTTGATTAGTATTTTAAAGAAAATAACTGTTTCCTGATAAATACATGTTAAGTAGACTAGTTCTTTGCTAGAAGTGATTAAAACAGATTAAATATAGATTATCAAGAAGCTCCATTTAATTGTTATACGATCTAAAGAACGAACAAGTTGTATTGTTACATACGGTTTATGTTAGAGGAATGGATCTTTTTTTGTGCCAATCGTGAATCAAGGACCGAAGGGTGTGATTAGGAGTAAGGCGTTTGTGTTCTAGGTCTAAGTTTGTCAACGGTGATGTATTGTGGCTCATTCCTAGCCATTGCTTTATGGCGCTCAGCTCGTACGAGAATCCATCTGAAGCAATGTGTGGGTTCTTCATTACATCCTGCAACCAACAAAAAGTTTCATCAAACCAAACCGAACGAGTGCAGTATATCCCACTTGGACGTGGGGTCAAGAAGAACCTGAAACAAGACACTAGACTCGAGAAAATCGAGTTTTAATGCTTCATAGATGTTGCACTCTTGCTATATACGAGTTTTACCTATATGTTTTCGTAGATGTACTAGTATTGAAATTTAAGATTTTGTACCTAAATGCTTTATAAGATAGTATAGATATGAGGAGGCAGGTTCGTTTGAAATTCTGAGAACCATGAGAACCAACTATTTATAAGTTACTTATGACAAAAATCGTGATAGATATTTGGGCAAAAAGTTGATTTACTGGAAGCTCCAACCAGCCCCATACGGAACCTGCCTCGAAGGACACCAATGTGATGGGGCATTTTTGGCTCACTCAGCGGCTAAGACTAAATGGGGGGCTTGGGATCGAACCCAGGACCTGTGTTCTTTGCCAACTGAGCTACACGCCAGAGGCGATATCGTGATAGATATTAACCATGAATATCATGAATAACGAAAATGCATAATATTCATGAATATTTTAGTATATTCATCACGAATAATTAATGAATAGTTGGTTTTTGCGGTTCTCGGTAACATTTACTGTTACTAAATGAACTTTCCCGTAAATATGAAATACCTTAACTACATAGAGAGATGCTAACCTTTAATATTGGACAAAAGAAGGAAGCTGGTATGATGGTTTCGTCATCCGAATCCACATTAAACTCGTTTACCGAACATCCGACACCCGCCACCACATCATCCGCCTTCTTCCTCACCTCTTCCATCTCTTTCATCACCATCGTCATCCCCGTATACGCACCGTCACCGCTAGATGAGCACCGTATTGCTATTCTAGCAAGCTCCATTGCCACCTGCAACGGCCATTCCCCAACCCTTTGATCCAAAACCTCCACAAGCGTAGCTTCGTTCATCATGTTTACCTCATCGAGAAACCCACACCAATTTCTCTCAGTCAGAAGCTGCAGCACCAAACTCCCAAAATCCTGAATATCAGACCTGATATCAGATTCATCAAACGAGAAGTCTAGCCTAAACCCGTTTACTTTTGCAACATGATTACGGTCCAAAAGGATCTTGCCTAGGTTCAAGTTGCCGTGAACCATAGGCCTGGGCTTCGATAGATGCAGAAAGCTCAAGCCTGAACAAACTTCGGCTGCTATACCGACTCTAGCATGCCAGTTTAGAGCTTGATTTTTTCTATTATTAGAGAAAAACACGTTTCTTAGGCAGCTTTCGTGCATATACTCGAAAATGATGCATTTTAGCTCTTTGCAGAACCCGATCATGGCCACTACATGCGGATGTTGTATGCGGCTTAGAACCTTCACCTACACATGGAGAACGTTTAGTCGTTACATGCATTTGTTACTCGTATGCCATGTTTGAGAAACGATAAGCTATCTTATTATTTTAGTTTATTGAAAAAGTCTAGTTTGGTAAGCCATAAGTTATTCAATAAACTCCAGGGGCTCTTTCCCCATTATCCCCCTCATATTTTTCCAAATAATTTTTCAACATGTTGTTTTAGGTCATTTTACATTGTCATTTAGCTTTTCAACTAGTTTTTACCAAAGATGACTAGTTATTCAGCTAACAGCTAGTTTATTAGCCAACAACTAGCTTATCAACTACCAAAGGGCCTTTGGCCTAGCGGTATCGTAGCCTTTGGCCTCCGAGGAGGTCAGGGGGTGTGAGTTTATTTGTTGTATATAAATGTTATATACTTAAAAAAAACTAGCTTATCAACTAGATTTTACCAAATATGACTAGTTTATCAACTAGGTTTTACCAAATATGACTAATTTATCAACATACAACTAACTTATCAACTAGTGTTTACCAAACATGACCAATTTATCAGTTAACAGCTAGTTTATTAGCAAACATGACTAATTTATCAGCTAACAACTAGTTTATTAGTCACCGGTTAACTTATCGGCTAATTTATCAAACAAAGCCGTAATGTGGCATGAAAAACTTGTTTGTTTACCTTGGTATCAAATTCTTCTTCTGAAACTTGTCTGATCCTGAAGTCATATAACTTGACAGCAACTGTGGTATGATCGATTCGAGCTCTATACACGTTTGTGAAATCACCAGAACATTTTATTCTGCAGTGTTCCGAGAAATGATCGGTTCCTGCTCTAATCTCCTCGGCAGTAAACTCTTTATAAGAGAAGCCGAAATTATTCAATCTTGTCACCATTTCGATAGCATCTTTATCTCTGCAAAACTCGATTCGTCGCTGCATAACGTTTTTTTGTTTCCTCAGCTTTTCTATATCTTGAATCATGCCACCCCTTGTGTTGATCATCTTCCCTAATTGTTCTTGGGATTGTGATTTCACCATTGTTGATGATTTAAGTTTTCTCGACAGTTCCCTCTGGATTTCGAGCGTTGAGTCAAGCTTGTTTCTGTTTTGGTCGAGTCTAATTCGGGTTTCACTAAGTTCTTCTCTTATGGTCTCCAAATCTTTCTCTAGAGCCCCTCGTTTCATGGTTTCTTCGTTTAATCGAGCTTCAAGATCCTCTGACTGAAAATCGATTAATAAAAGAGAATTTTACAGGATTTTTAACTACAAGATCGAAGAATTACCCTTGATGTGCACAGATTAATTGCCCATTCTGCTCTTGAATATCTTTGAACACTTTCCTTGGCTTCTCTTCTCTTCAAATGAATGGCATCTCGTGCTTCGCCTATTTTGACTCTCAGAAATTCGGTTTTCTGTGTCGGAGTCTAGGACATTCGATAAAAAAGACGTTTTTAGACATCGTCAAGTAACGTTTTCGAACATGGATGATTTAGTAAAAAAGATAAAGAAATTACCAAATTTCTGGGTATAGATGTGGATCTATTGCTCTCCAAGATTTCATCTGAAACCTGCCCACTTTCTGATTCTTCAACTAAGTGATTGAAGTACCCTTCAATCTCTTCTGCACATTTCTCCCAGATCGATGGCGAATCTACACTTGTCGAAGAAGGCGAAAACCGAGGACTTTTTACATTTTCCGGGAACATTTTACCAATCCAACCTCTGAAACTCCCTCTCTTTTTGTTCAATTTCGCTCCTTGATCGTCTTCTATGAATCCCTCATTGTTTTCATCTTTCAACAAGAACAACTTCCCTCCACTTATCAAGTATAATTCGCAGAAATCAGGCTTCTTTTGCTGAATATGCTTCAATCCACTCAATAGATTTCCATATTTCCTTCAACACAGCAAGAACAAAGATAAGCAGATGATCATTATCTTCACCAAATCACATACTCAAAGGATGTTAAAAGTCAACATACCATGAAGACGACTTCAAGAACGTAATCCCCATCACCAGTTTGCAAATTCCAAGACCCGAAACGAGTTGTACGATTCGTTTGTGTATCGGTTCATCGCATTTTTCGATGTTTAGAATTTCTGTTTTCACTTGGCCACAGAAAGCTATGTACTGACGTAGAATCTTGTTGAGTTTCCCTTGCTCACATTTCTTGAGAAAGTCAACACTTTGATCATTGACATAACTTGCAGGGATCTTTCCATCTTGAATTAGGACACCATTTTAGTCAAACCATAAGAAAAAAAAAGGTCAAAATTAGAATTCTGTAATTACTTACAGTATGTGTAGACATAATCCTTATTGATATCTGCATGAAGGATAACAATGGAGAATTGAGAAGACGACCATTTTCTGAGTGTCCATTCGAGAGTTGCAAGGCCTTCTTGTACGTCATTCCCAATCGCTACATACACTTTCTCTGCAGCTCTCTCCATCGTCTTTGTTGGGTGTTTTTCTTGGATCTCAAAAATTTGATTTTTTTGTTGATGGGTTTTGAAATATCTCAGCAAATAACCCCAAAAGTTTCAGTGCCGATGTCATCAAGGCAAAATACATGCTCCTTTCTTTGGACCAGAATATCGTATTTATCGTCTTTCAAAGTGGGTTTTCACCAAAACAAAAATTCGACTGGAAAGGGAAGAAAAATGAAGGAATTTTCCATATTTTTTATAAATATATCTTTAAAAAGTACTCGTACAATGTAACGAGATATATTTCAATTTTAATGTTTCATTTTTTTTTGTCTTAGTTGATGTTATAATAGGTTTGATGTGGTTTTGAGAAAACGATAATGTTTTTATTTTTAAATAAAATATAAATATGAAAATATATCATAAAAAATTGAAAAAAAATATTGGTATTAATACCAAACTAAAGATTAAAAATTTCTTCTTTTTGTGTATTTCGTTAATTCAATTTTTTATTTTTAGTTTAATAATATAATTTTTTATAAATATAATTATTAAGTATTTGTTAGAACTCAATAATTATCCTACTTATATTTTAGATTTTTTATATTTAAAATGAGATGCTTATCTTATATTTGATTATGTTTATCCGCAGTTAGTTACACAAATTCAAAAATAAAGCTTCAATAAGTTGTATTTATGTATAACTTACTTGTAATATTGAAAATTAAGTAAATTAGCATTATATAGCAGTACATAATACTTAAAAAGTTGTTTTTAAGAGATTGTGTCAAATGCTCTATAATATAGTATAGATATCATTTACAATGAAAGGTCAGATGGTTTTGTAATTTTTTTAATAATCTTTTTAATGAGTTTTAACTTCTTTGCATTTGGAATTAAAGCTTTGAGAAGAAACTTATCATTATTTTCATTCCATTTTCTTTTCTTTCCCAAAAAAAGTTTATAAAACACGGATTTTTCCCCCTTCTCTTTCCTTCGTAAAAAAAGGTTTCTAGAACATAGCGTAAGATAAAAACTGTGTGAGAATGCTAGGGATTTTTTTGGCTTGATTTGTAGCGATTGAGATTGTAAACCTAGTTGTGTGGGTTTGAGATTTTTTGGTTGTTTACAAAACGTTTACCGACAAGAGTTATCATTCTTATTTACCTTATTGAGTAACATTCTAGGCAATTTAAATGGATTGTTGATAAACATGTTTTACTTGATAAATGTTTTCTCTATCGCTTACCAGTACCACATAAGATTCTTGTTATGCATTTTATTTGGTAAGGTTATTGATTTTTGTCATGCTCCTCCGTTAAAATAAATGACACCTAATAAGCAATTATTCAATAAGTGTTTGGTATAGACAGGCCCCTTAATGTCTAAAACTATATGTAACGTTTTTCAACCAAGCCTTCTAAGAGCAGTTTACAACATCCTTAACTGTCCACTTTAAGATTACTGTTGGTTAAAATCTATTGTTAACAGAAATTGTTCAAAAATATCCGTATAAAATAAGGGCATATTCACCTAAAAACCATAAATATTTTGAAAACCAACTATTCATGTATATTTGTCATAAATAATTAATTTACGATCCTCAAAATATTTAATTTTCTTGAATAAACTTTTCTTACATCAATATTTTTCATAAAAAATTAATAATAAACAAAAAAAATATCACCTAAAATCTTGAAAATTGGGTGTGAAAATGGACTCGATTTTTCTTTAATGATTTTGCTTTTTGACAAAAAGTGTGATTACATAGAAAAATTGGCGTAACGTAACCTTTTCAAACGTTGATTACAAGGCTTGCCTCATCTTTTCCTAATTCATGTATTATCCGTAATCATTTATTGTCTTTTAATTATAAATATATGTTGGGTCCATTATTGTTATTTATTCACTTGATGTTGATATTATATAATGATTTATCAATTTAATTGATACCGACGTAAAATCTATCGTTTACTAGATTATGGTCGACGACACGCTGATGTAAAATGTTATTAAATTTACTTCAATTTATAAATACGTACGATGTGATTATCATCATATTATATACTTTATTTCATCAATAAAATTGAATACTTTTTTAGTGTGTGTAAATTAAAATAAGTGATTATGGCTAATATTATGGTTGCTTATTTACATATTATAATATGTTAATAAGATTGATTTTGGTTTTTTTTAATAGGTAATTAATCATTGTAATTATCCAATCATTCATCAAAGATTTGCATTAAAATATATCGAATCAAACGTTAGATTGGTTTATTGACACTGACATCATTGTAATAGACCAGAACATCAAGGAATGTGGACTTGGTCGAACAAATACACCAAAACTACGATCTGCAGTTTATAATGTCGTGTCTAAATTAAAATAAGTGATCAAAGTTTGTTGCCTCCTACGGTATCCACACGAATGAAATGAATCTCGTTTCTCGTGAAAAGAAATCTTTTAATTGCAAAATCTTTTATTTGATTTCAGATATTTTGTGTTTGTAAGAAACCCGGTCATGGATTCCTAAATTGACGAAGGGGCCGTTTACTTAATGTTTATCCGGTAAGTGCTTATTGGGTAGTTTTTCTTACCGGATGAACATGACAATGGTCAAAAAGTTTAGCCGATAAGAGCAATGATAAAGATGAAAAGTCTTACTCGGTAAGTGATGGTGACGACTCTTACCCAGGTAAACGCTTACTGAGTAAATTGTTGCATACAATATCATTTTGATGTACTACAATCTTATCCGGTAAAATAACTTACATTGTTGATTCCTGATGGTAAATGCTTACTGGGTAAGCATTTAGGTAAACGGCCGACAAACGATTAAATCATTGGAGCAACTTTCATCCAATTTGATTATGATGCCTTCGAACAACAATATTGATATAAACAACTTCCATATTGGTTTTGGGCTTATTATAATTTCTTATGGGCCAAGCCCAAACCAAATTTTACACTAAGATTCAAAGAGTTAACATTATCCAATTTGGTCCAAGAATAATAGAAAATTAAAAACAGAGTAATTATATAGGGATACAAATGAGTTGGGTCTTGTTTTGTTGGGAATAAGACGAGTATGGAATTAAAAATGTAGCATTTTTTTCAACTGTAGGTGTACAAACCAGCTTGTGTATGTCTTAATTGATCTTAAGGACCTTGGTGACGGTCACAAAATTTTTTAATGACTTTGTAGAACTTGAACTAATGACCTCTAAGAAGGAGCTTTTGAGGCCCAAAATTCAAAATAGGATTGAGGCAATATTGGGTGATTTTCAAAACTGACGTGGAATAAAAAAATATATATATCTATGCTATATTATAAAGCATTTGATAAAAAATTTTAAAAACAATTTTTTATGCATTAAGTACTGTTTATTGATGCATATTACTTATAATTTATGATTACAAGTAAATTGTGTGTAAGTACAATTTATTAAAGTTTCATGTTTGAACTCGTGTAACTAACTATAGATAAACATAACTGAATAGAGGATAAATATCTCATTTTAAATATAAAAAATCTAAAATATAATTAGGATAACCATTAAGTTCTAACAAAATACTTAAATTATTATCTTTATAAAAAAATTATATTATTAAACCAAAAATAAAGAAATTACATAAAAAAAGAGAAATTTTAAATTGTTAGTTTTGGTACTAATATCGATATATTTTTTTTTCAAATTTTTATGATATTTTCATATTTATATTTTATTAAAAAATAAAAACGTTATAGTTTTTTTTTCTAAAAACTACATAAAACCGTATTATAACATCGTCTAAGACAAAAAAAAAACATAACATTAAAATCGAAATGTAATGTATCTCGCTACATTGTGCGAATACATTTCTAGTATGTTATAATTCATTACCTTAATTTTATCGGACATACAAATATATAAGAAAGATGGAGTGAGTTAAGGATAATACGAATTGAAGTTGGAATGGATGTGGAACCACCTAAGAAATTCCATGTTGACGCATTGCTTTCCTTTGTCTTTTGTCTATCGTTGTTCTCTCTCCGTCATCCATGAACGTCGTCGTTCTCCATTTTTTGTTGCCAGTTGTTCTTCGTTTTCCCATCGTTGGGTCTTCAACCAGAGTCTTGTTGAAATTCTAGTATGTTGATATACTCCTTATAATCTGTTGACATGCTTAACTCACTGTTCATACATGCATTTAAACAAAAAAGATATGTCATTTATAGTGAATATATATACACACACACATATATATATATATATACACACACACACATACACTAGTTGTGTACCCGCGCAATGCGGCGGAAGCCGTGAATTTTATCGATTTTGAAGTTTCACTGGTTTTATTATAGAAGATTTAACGATAATATAAGTTACATGTGATCTTTATATAATAATACAATTTGAATAAATAAGAGTTACGGTTCCACTTACAGTCTACGGATGAAAAAAAATTGTATGACAGTTTAAACTCCAACATATTTAAATGACTCCAGAAATGTGTTCGATTTACACCAAGAGCAAAGAATTAAGAGATCGAGAACGAGACCGAGAATTCTAAAGCAATTGAATGAGTGATGAATGAGGGAACTTTTAATAATTCATGGCGAATATCAGTTTGAATCTCATATTGGAGGATGGGGAGCAGACACATAGATATGAGAGAGTGAAGGCATGAGTAAAATGTGTCAAAAGTATATTGGGAACATGAAAAGAAAAAGTGTCCATTGGGAACTTGTACTATATGTTATTTTAATTGTAGATTAAGATATTTTAAGACTAAATGCATAAAGTAATAGTACTTAATGCATTATGAGTTGTTTTTAAGTCTTTGTGCATAAATGTATAGTATTTTGTACATTAAAAATTGTTTTTAAGACTTTTGATAAATCTGGTTTATAAGGTAATATAGATACATATATACACACACACACACATATATATACATACATATGGGCGTAAACAAATGAGAACTAATTAGTTTGTGGTAACCATGAGGTCCAATCTCAACTACAAGTCAATAGATTAATTAGGAAATTTATAATTTGGGTAATTTTAAATTAAAATTTTAATGCAAGGACAT